CACTTTTTACCAAAAATGACAAAAATGTTCACCAATATTAGAGAATTAAAGATATCATTACAAAATGAACAAATCTGAGAGAGGTTCACATGTAGTACCTATATATGTAATATCAAAGCAATTGGACTTGCGGTTTTTAACAATAAGTCGAAAATACCACTTTTTACTAAAAATGACAAAAATATTCACCAAAATTAGAGAATTGAAGATATCATTACAAAATGAACAAATTTGAGAGAGGTCTACCCAAGGTACATATACAGCAAGTATCAAAGCATTCAGGCTTATAGTTTTCAAGAAGTCAAAAAAGTAAAACAATGACATGGACGACGACGGACAACAACGCCGGACAAACACTCATATGATAAGCTCTGCTCGACAAAGTCGACAGCGGAGCTAATCAGTCAAAGCATTTAAGAGATATGGCTCTAGAAGCCCGATCATTAAAACAAAATGGCCGCCAGTCAGCCATTTTGAATCCAATCTGAAAAATAAAATGACGTGCATCAGGAACCCGTAATGTCTAATGTATGTAACCAAGTTTGAACGAAATCCATCCATAAATGCCAGAAATGCTTGATATTTGATGATTTTTTAGCACAAAAATGACCACCATTCGGGCCATTTTGAATAGGATCGCCAAACCAATATATCTGTCTATCTATGACATGATGTATAATGAATATTTAAAATTTGAACATAATCAGTGAAAGCAAGTCAGAGATATGGCCGAGAACCACATTCATAAAAACAAAATGGCCGCCAGTCGTCCATTTTGAATCTTATCTGAAAAACAAAATTATTTGCATCAAGGTCCCATAATGTCTAATGTATATACCAAGTTTGAACATAATCCATCTGTAAACAGCAGAGAAATGCTTGATTTTTAGGATTTTTTAGCACAAAAATGGCTGCCATCCAGCCATCTTGAATCAGATCGTCAAACAAAATGATGTGCATCAAGGTCCTATAATGTCCAACGTATATACAAGTTTTGAACAAATCCATCTGTAAACAGCTGAAAAATGTTTGATTTTGATGATTTTTAGCATAAAAATGGCCGCCATTCGGCCATCTTGAATCAGATCGTGAAACAAAATGATGTGCATATGTATAATATCATGTATGATGTATGTGTAAAGTTTGATTGTGATTGGTTCAGGCATTTCTAAGATACAGGTCCAGACGCACGCACGCACGGACACACAGAGGTCAAAACATAAGTTCCCGTTTTCGGACTGCGTCCGAACGGGGACTAAAAATAAAGGAATAAGGTTTTCTATGCTACAGCGATCTTTTGATGTAGTCCCTAATTGGTGATTGGCCTACATTACAAGAAAAAGTTCATAAAAAATAATCCTCCCATTTCCTACCTCGTGTGGCTCCACTACGGCTACTTTTCCCTTTCCTAGACGTCTCCCAATCTTACTAGCCATAGCACAGCCACCGGCACCGCCACCAACAATAACAACTTCATAATTCTTTTTCGCCTTGGCACATGGTGTTGTACTGAAGTGCATAGAGGGCGCTGTGCAGGCCCTCGCCATGCCGTGGACGGAACTCCCACTTCTCTGCAGTAATTTCACGCAAGCCATAGTCACTACGGTTATAGTGCTCACCTAGAATTATACAAAAACAAGAAATTATGAGAACAAATAAATACACTATATTATTATACATCTGTCACCGTAACGCCATAGGTTACAGCGTGCCGTAATTTTGCGGTATTTTACGAATTATTTTCATCCTACCATATTAGGAAATGCGAATTCCAAATATGGAATTATTACGCGCGTAAGCGCCCTCTAATAATAAAAACAAACATGGCTGCCACCAGAATTTAACCGGACTTCATACAAAGAA